CCCCCCCCCCCCCCCCCCCTCTGCATGCTTACAGAACGATAATAGTATTCTTCCTCTGCCCTGTCTGTGCTTTCATTGCTATTTTCTGCAGCTTCATGGCTATATCACAAGCGGTCCCTTCCTCCTGGCCACTCAGCTTGTAGCCGAACAGCTTGACTTTCCCGCCCTGAAGCCGCACGTCCTCTTGCAGCTCGGCTCGCCTCTGCACAGAGGACAGGGGACGCACATGAGCGCGTGTGGGTGCGCCTGTGCGCCTGTGCGCCTGTGCGTGAGTGTGTGAGTGTGACTGCTGACCGAATACTGAGGCTTCCCGTCATAAAACTTGACACCTGGAGGCACTTCTAATACATCCGCAATACAGTCGACGATGCCCTTGAACATCACCCCATTCAATTCAATGCCGTATCTGTCCTTGACGGACTTCTGAACACGCCATACGCATCAGCATAGATCTGTGTGTTGCCTTCCCCATTTCCGAAGGGTCTTCACGTGTGACTGACCACCATGTATGCCCCATCGACAAGGAAGGGCGACTTGGAGAGAGGCGGCGCCATGGCTGATGGGACAGAACGACAGCCTATTACTGTTCAAAAAGTGAAACCGTCTCTTACCCAATCCGCTTGTGCGTTAACGCCATTTGCAATGCCATCATGCGACGTGTTTCAGCCATGTCCATCCGCCACCCCCATCCATGCATGAGTGAATTCGCAGAGAGAAGCAAGCTGAGAAGTAATTGAGCATGCTCATCGGTCCATTCCATTCATTCCCTGAGCCACTGGCTGCTGGCCTGGCTGTTGTCGCTTCGCGTGCACCTTTGACCCATGCATCAGACATCAGATGTGTGTACAGCAGCAGGCAGACAGACAGACAGACATCGAGGCATGCCCGGCTTGGCTAAATTCGGGCGTGCGGCCAAGGAAGGAAAAGGCAAACAGGCGGCAAGACAGACAGACAGACAGTACATAAGGGTTACGAATCTACACACCAAGCATCCAGACAGACCTGTGTGTGCATCATCATGACCGAATTGACTTGACGTCCCCTCCTCTCGCCCCGTCGAGTCGGCCAGCCACTCCCCCTCCCTCACACACACACACACACACGCCACATCGCACTCACTCTCCTGTCCCTGGCCGCACTCTCCCAACAGCAGCACACAGAGACGGCCAGACACCCGACCCGGTGTGGTTACCACACGCTTGTATACAGACAGACATACGTACAGAGCTCGAGAGAGAGAAAGGCACGGAAAAAGCCGTCAGTAAGGCAGTAAGTCGCTCGGTCAATTGGTCGGCCGATCGGGCCATCGGCCGATGGATGGATGGATGGTGGGCCGGTCGATGCATCCATCCATCCATCAGTAAGGTTGGGCTAGGTGTCTATCTCGCGGCTTGCGCCGCGCTTTGGTGTCGCTCCCACCGCCACCACTGCTGCTCCCGCTAACAGCACTAACGCCACTAACGCCGCTGGCAGCACCAGAAGCACGCCGCTTCTCGTTCGCCACGGCAATGGAGCCGTCTGAAAGACACACACAGAGAGATGGGCTCTGCACTGGGTGGTGTGTGTGGCGTGGCAAGTGGCCGTGATGGCTTGGCTTGCTCACCCTGGTTCATGACGACCTCAGTCATCTTCCGGAATGAGTATCGCATGTAGGTAGCCTCGCGGCTGCCCTGGCTGCGACGGGCACCGTTGAACTCGCGGCTGATGGCCGTGGCACTCAGATCTGACACACAACACGACCCACCCAAAGGCACCAGATGGCATTGAGGGTCCTCCTTCTCTGGTTGGTTGGGGTGGGGAGTACCTACCGAGTGCCTTGGCGGCATCCCGCAGTGAGGTGAAGTATCGCTTGCGAGCCTCACCTTTCTCGTCCGTCCAAGTCACCCTGCACACAACACACACACACCACCAACACGAGGGAGGGACACGATGAATGGGAATGCACCACCCGTCCCCCTCTCTCTCGGCCTCTTTCTTCCTTACTCTAGCGGCGTCGAGTTGGGCGAGCTGGCGTCCCCCTCAAAGCACACAATGCGGTCGCCGATCTCCACCTCCCGCACCAGCAAAGTGATCCCGGCAGGCCGACCCACACGTGGGGCACACGAATTGTCAAACGGCGAGGGGGACCGCTTGGCCTTCCGGGGGGAGGCCGGTGACACCTGCGACAGCACCTCGTGGAAGGGGTGGTCCGGCGCCGCGTCGGCCGCAGGAGGAGCAGCAGCAGGCCGGTCGTGTTGCTGCTTGTTGGCGGGCGACGGTCCGCGGCTCATCTGGAAGGGGTTGACGGGGTGGACGCGGGGAGGGGGCGAGGGGGGCAGAGCGGTGGAGCAAGGTGTGATGCCACCCACCTGTTTAGTTTGACACACGCACAAGACAGACAGAGAGAGATGGTCGTTTGAGTGCATTGCATGGGGTGCTGTGCTGGTGGCGATGCCGCCCCGCCCCGCACCTGTGTGGGGTTCATGAATTCCGGCTCGTCGTCGCTGGTGGGGATGCGGTCGAAGGCATACACATCACGGTCGCTGATCTGCTTGCGCTTGTTCAGCAGCTGAGACAAATGAGACTCAACTGCACCACACCACACCACACCAGACACAAACAAATCCCACTGAAATCAGCACGGAGTGTGCCGTTCATTGTGTCGTTCATTGTGTGTCCCCGCCCTCCCCACGTGTACTGATATTGAGGAAACGTGAGGCCTCTCTCTGCGTGGAGAAGTAATGGCACTTGCCCGTCTCCCGGTGCACGGCGCGTATCTTGAGGGGCGGCCGCCAACCCAGATACCCGCCACACCCAATTCCAATCCCAATCCCAGCCCCAGCCCCACCCCTGCCCACTCCGCGGCCCTTGCCCTTCCCCTCCCCAGACGCGTCGCCCTCTTCTTCAGCCCCCACTTCTTCCGCCTCGTCAGGCTGGCCGAGCGTCGCAAGCAGGATCTTCTTGTCGTCGGCGGCCCCCGCCCCCTCCTCCCTCTCACGCCTGGTCCGTCGGCTCCTGGTCGGGCGACGGCTGAGCTGCCTGGAGACGTCAGCGAGCACGGCCAGGTCTGCGTGGGCGGCCTCATCTTGCTGCTCGTCTTGGTCCCCCTCGGGAGCCGCCATCTCCACCTCCAAGTCATCCGACCGACCCTTCCTGCTCGCGCGGCCCCGCTGCGCCCGCGTGACCCGTCTGCAGTCCCTGTTGGGCTGCTCACCCTCCTCATTGCTATCGTCTCTATCCACCGCTCGTGTCCTGCGCTGGCCTCTCAGGCCCTTCTGACGACCGGTCGGCTGAATCACGGGCGGCGCCTCGATGCGCAGAGGGCGTCGCTGCGGTGTCGGGTCGTCGTCTTCTGAGGATGAGCTGTCGCCACTGGAGGCACTAGAAGAAGCGCTCGGCTGGTCAGGAAATTTACCCCCTCTGCCGCAGTAGCTGTTGATGGTCGGCTGGCGGGCGGGGAACAGCATTGACGAGCGGTGGACGGCGGGGCTGGGGGCGGGGGGAGGGGCCAGCCAGAGATTGGGGTTGTGTGAGGGCATCTTCATGGCAGGCGGGTGCGGCGGCTCCATCCACACACCGTCGTGCATCGTGTGTGGTGGCCCCCTCAGCACCGCTGCTCTTCCCCTCGCGAAAACCTGACCCCCATCGAAAAGAGCCATCGAGTGGTCGCCCATCGTCGGCGCGTCATCCATGCCGCCGACGAAGCCCCTCGTCGGCGGGTGGGGCTGGAACGGGTCGAAAAAGTAGCCAGGGTGGTGATGAGGGTCGCCGTCATGGTACGTGTGTGCGAAGGGGGGCGGGTAGTCGTGCGAGGGAGGGCTGACGGGGGGCGGGGTGGAGAGGCGGAGAAAGCGCCGTGAGTGTAGCTGATGGTCCAGCTCCTCTTGTCCGTCAAAACCGCCGTCGTCTCGCATGTCCACATTCAGCTCCTCCCACCCAGGGATAGAATCCCCCACATGGCTCCAAAAGTCAGCCATCCCACTCGATGCCATGCTGACTGACGGCAGACCACCAGCGCCTAGCCGCGCCAACGCCCACACGTCTGCGAGCCTCAGACGTCGACAGCCGGAGACGGACGGTCAGTGGTCTTCAGGAGAGGGCTCCAAACGGGCCCACCGGGGTATCTCAGGGCGGCCCGGCGTGCGGCAGAGATGCCAACCGAGGGAAGGACAGCAAGAGATGGGCAGAGTGGACCAGCAGCGGTGCTGCCCAATGGCCAGGCAACAGCAAGAAGGCTGTAGTGGTATCTCTTGTGGCCTGCGAAGGGCCTTCACAACGCCGACGACACGTGTGGACCGAAATAGATACCCCGGGGAAGAAATGGACGGACAGATCGGGTCAAGGGAGGGGAGCAGAAGGACAGAAGGAGAGAAAGAGGCGAAAGAAGACGAACGTGTGTGTTCGGTTCAGGCGGGTGGAGCCTGGTTTTAGTGGAGGCATAAAACCAAAAGGGTCACCGGTCCGAAATAACACGCAGCGGACTACACTCCATCAGGGATCGTCGGGCCACGCGTCCTTTCAATCGGAGGCTGTTTCGAGTCCTAGCACCCGTAGATCAGCGACTGACCCGTCACGAGGCGGCGGCTGGAGACGAAGCCGCATGATATGGGGCAGCGCAGGGGTGGTCGCCTGTGCCTGTCAGGGCTGCTCTTCCTCTCATCTTTCGCTCTGCATCGAACGGTGACTGCAGAAGACTCAGCGCAGGCAGGTGAGAAAGGTCCTGTCTGCACCAACTGCAAGGACAGACCCTTTCATTTGCAGTGTGCCTTTGATTCAGGGGCCAGTGTTCCTCCTGACGATGGCGGTGCAGCAGAGGAGGTGTCGGACCTTCAGCTGTCTGGTGGATCCACCTCTGCTCCACTCCTGGACTCGGACTTCGCAGCAGGTGGCGTCGAGTTGAGTTTCAACATCCTGGCGAGTGAGGCGGCCAGCGACATTGAGGCGCCCTCCAGCTGCCCCAAGGACGCCATCGTGTTGGCTCTCGACGAGCACGGCAAAGGCACGCTGGCGTGGCCGGAAGGCGAAGCCATGAACTGGAGACCGACACCAGTATATGAGGCCCATATCAAGGCGGCGAGCATAGGCATGGAGGCCATGACCATGGCGCGGAAGAACCGGGGAAAGCAGACACAGGCTCAAGAAAAAGAGGGGGACCAACGGCCAAGGGGCATGCGGACGCCTGATGGTCTCACGTTCGGTTGCCGCGCTATTGGGATGAACAGAGTTGTCCTGCCGATCGACGGGGACAAGTGTGAGGTCGACGTCCTTGTCGCAGGTAGGTGAGCCAAAGCGTCATTCGCAGCACCATCCCATTCTGCCCCTTTGAGCCGTGCAGACACCACCCCTCCTAGGCTTGACTGCCGCAAGGAAGTGCTGCTGTCAATCGACAGAACATCCAACAGGGCGACCCTCAATGCCTCACAGATCCTCAACGCAGCCATCACGGACAACTGTTCGCCCCCTTCAGACCAAGAGAAGGAGGCTTCAGTCGCCCTCTTCAATGGTATCGTCAGCCAGGCGGAGTTCTCATGCGGCGATGTCGGCAAGAACGGCACAACGGTGGAGGTGAAAGCCGTGGACGTGTCGGGCAATGAAGCCACGTGCCAGACCAACGTTATCGTCAAAGGTAGATAGGTACAAGGCAGCGAGGGTGCGTATCCGCTCCTCTCCTCCCTCCTCTGCACTGCATGTGTGTGCAGATGAGGTCCCTCCCGTGCTGGAATGTGAGAGGAGCATCACGCTGCGGCTCAACCAGACAGGCCAGGCATCCCTGGCACCGTCAGACCTCGGCGCCGCCACCGACAACTGCGCTGCCGCAGCGAGTGACGTCACTTACGTGTTGAGCAAGACGGAGGTTGGATGCGAGGAATCGTTTGGGGACTACCCGTTCCCCGTCACACTCAGCGCCCTCGATGCTGCCGGAAACGTCGACAAGTGCGTCGCGACTGTGCAAGTGAAAGGTGACGCACGTACGAGCACATTCACAGACATGTGGACACGTGTGGGCTCTCTCTCTCTCTCCCTCTGTCTGTGCGTGTGTGGGTGTGTGTGCACAGAGGACTTGCCCCCCGATCTTGAGTGTGCGAAAGACAGCCCCCCGACAGTCCAGCTGAATGAGAAGGGCAAGGGATGGCTGGAGGTGAAGGATGTGGCAGAGGCCTGCGCTCCCAGGGACAACTGCAATGTGGTTGTCAACGACAGCATGTACCTGGACAGGTGGGAGTTCAACTGCAGCGACCTCGGCGAACAGACTGTTATGTTTGGGATGGACGACACACACGGCAACAAACTGGAAAAGAACATCACCGTCAGAGTCGAAGGTAATGACAGAATTGTCAACGATACCTGTCACCCCGGAAATGGTGCATGTCACGTCAGATCCCCATCTCCCGACGGCCGAGTGCGACGACGTCGTGCTCTCCGTAGACCAGGAGGGCAAGGCGTACACGAGCGGCATCACGGTTGGCTCCCGGAGTCAGGACAACTGCGGGATGCACAGGATGGACGTCAGCAGAAAAGTCTTCACCTGCGACGATGTGGGCAAGCACGAGCTGCAGCTGTGGGTCAAGGACGAGACGGACAACCAAGGCCAGTGCAAGGCCAAAGTCGTCATCAAAGGTGGCTGGGGGTGGGGTGGGGTGGGGTGGGTGTCAGAGGGAGGGAGACACCAGCCGGACACGAGCACACACACAGAGAGCTCTGCCCTCCTTTGTGTGTCATGTGTGTGTGCCAGACGACTCCCCTCCCGCCCCTCTCACCTGCAGCGACATCACCATCCCCTTCCCCTCCGACCCTTCCGCCACCAACGTCACACTCGACGACTGGATGGCCTCCTACCTCGTCATCAGCTCACACGACAACTGCCCACTCCGAGCCACAATCGACCGCGACAACATTTTCACACGCGACGAGGTCGGCACCACAGTGACGGTCAAGGTGGAGGCCGAGGACGTCGGGGGCAACAAGGCGCCGGGCGATCCCTGCACGGCCAACGTCACGATAGAGCGGCCCTTCGCGTGGCCGAAGGCGGCATCGAGGGTCGAGAAAGACGCGGCCATGGAGGCGGCGATTGAGGATTTGGTGGGTCGGATGACGCTGAAGGAGAAGGTCAGCCAGATGGTCATGACGCTGCAGTCGTCGGTCGAGCCGGAGCAGCTCACGGACTGGCCACTCGGGGCCGTTCTCTCTGGTAAATTGAACAGGCCAAAGCCGTTCTGTCGATGCACTCGTACAATCCTCTCGCATTTCCTGGCTGCAGGAGGCGGCTCTTTCGTCGGTGACAATGAGCCCGCGGAGTGGGTGGCACGCGCACAAGCCTTCCACGACGCTCTGGTCAACATTCCAAAGGCAACGCAGCAGCGCCTGAACCGCACCAGGGGCATCCCACTCGGATGGGCCACGGACGCCGTGCACGGCCACAGTGTCTTGGACCACGCCACACTGTTCCCCCACAACATTGGCCTTGGCTGTGCCAACGACACCGACCTGCTCGAGAGGATCGGAGTTGCAACTGCCCAGCAAGTGGCTGCGACTGGCGTGGACTGGGCACTTGCGCCGGCGCTGAGCGTCCCCGAGAGCGTTCGCTGGGGACGGGTTTTTGAGGGCTACTCTGGTCAGTTGATTCAGGGCTCACTCCTGGCACACAGGCGGTCGTTGTCTTCTCTCTGCAGAGGACGTCTATACGGTCACCCACCTGGCGAGGTCGCTCATCAGGGGACTGCAGGTACATCCATCCATCCATCGGGCCGCACACACGATGTGTGGTGTCATGTGTGCAGGGTGTGGTCAGGGTCAGCTCTAACGAAGCGTCTGCCGACGGTGCACAAGAGACACCAGCCCCATCAGGACAGCGTCGTCTGGCCGGCGGCAGACACCTCCGTGAACCTGATGATGAGGGAAAGGACCATCGTCTCTTAGCGCCTGATGAAGATAAGGGTTCAGACGAGGGATTCCTGGGGCCGGCCAAGGTGATAGCCACAGCCAAGCACTGGCTTGCCGAGGGGGCGACGATGTGGGGACAGGACGTGGGAAACACAGTGGCCTCGCAGAAGACCCTGCTCTACAAACACGCCAAGCCGTAGGCACATTCGTGGACGGCTGGGAGGATGGTGTGGTGTGATGGTGTCTGTTATGTGTGTGTGTGTGTGTGTGTGCAGGTACTACCCAGCCATAGAAGAGGGTGTGCAGACTATCATGGTGGCAATGGGCTCTGTCAACGGCCGCAGGCTCCACGCGGACAAGTACTTCGTCACTGACGTGCTCAAGGGTCAGCTCGGCTTCGACGGCATTGTGCTGGGGGACTGGTCGGCCCACCAGTTCATCCCCGGCTGCTCGTACTACGGCTGCACACCAGCCGTCAACTCTGGCATCGACATCTTCATGGCCACCTACCCCGAGCACTGGCAGAAGTTCATTGAGAACACGATGGATGCCGTCGACAGCAGGGAGATAGCCATGTCGCGGATTGACGACGCCGTCAGCCGCATCCTGCGTGTCAAGATGAGATTCGGCATCCTCAGCATCGACCCATCGGAGCCACCACGGCGTCCATCACCGAATGAGCGAGCGGCTGTGACACAGGCCAAGAAGGTGGGCTTCGACAAGTTCTTCCAGTCGGCGGAGCACGCGCTGCTGGCCCGTGAGGCGGTGCGCAAGTCCCTGGTGCTGCTCAAGAACAATAAGGGCCCCTCCCTGCTGCCCCTGCGACGACACCAGCACGTTCTCGTTATCGGCAACGGCGCAGACAACCTCGGCGTCCAAGCGGGAGGGTGGTCCATCTATTGGCAGGGCATTGCATCGAGCACGAGCGAGCTGGCCAAACAGCACTGGTTCAAGCAGGGGGTGACGCTGTACCAGGGCCTCCAGCAGCGTGTGGACAATGGCCGGGTTTTGCTCGGTGGCCCTGTTGCTGCTGACATCCCCAAGGATGGCGAATTCGACGTGGCTGTGGTGGCGGTGGGTGAGCGGCCCTATGCCGAGTACAAGGGCGATCTGGCCTTCCCCAAGACAATTCGCTTCGAGGCCACACAAGGGGGTATCGACGCCCTCAACATCATCCGCAAGCTGAGAGCCATGCGGCCCGGCGTGCCGATTGTGACGGTCCTATTCACTGGGCGGCCTGTGATGGCCAACCAGATCATCAACCTCTCGGACGCAGTCGTCGCGGCCTGGCTGCCCGGCAGCATGGGCGGCAAGGGCATCGCCGATGTGCTTGTGGAGGGCACCGGGCTGGACTTCAGCGGCAGGCTGGCCTACACATGGCCTATGCATCCCTGTGATGACGCATTGGGGGGAGTGGGGGGTGTGGATGGTGTCGAGACGCCTTTTCCCTTTGGGCATGGACTGACGATGCGAGGGTGGGATGGGCAGAGGGACAGGGTGGAGCGGCTGGATGCGTACGCTGACATTTATCGGTGTGAGGTGCCTGAGGGATTCGCAATCAGCAAGCACAGAGCGCTACGGGAAGAGTAGACAGCGCAAGTGGGGGTGGTGTGCGTGTATGTCCCTATCTATCATTCATCGTGGTGTCTGTTAGTCAACACAATTAGTCGGTCGGCATCCCATCCTGTCTGTCT